CGGAAACACAAGGAGGGGTGGCTATGAGTCTGGTCTGACTTGAGGGCACATAACAACAACAATAACAACAGGAAGCTTTTCACAATTAACTTTCTGAGTCTAATTCATTGACATAAACATTCATTTTCTATTGAATCTAGGTATGGGATCATTTCCATGTTGTTTTATGTATGTTTTGCCACCAGCAAGGATCATGACTTTATTTCAAATAGATGCATTGTGTTTTAGTGAAAGAATACAAAAGCAAACCAACAGCAACAAAACCCAAACCCATTGCTGTTGAGTTGATTACAACTCATAGTGACCTTGTGTTTACCAAAGTAGAACTGTTTCCATAGGTTTTCTAGGCTAATATTTACTGGGATAGATTGCCAGGCCTTTTTTCCCATGGCACTACCAAGTGGCTTTGAACCACCAACCTTTAGGTTAATAGATGACTGCACACTATTTGCAACAATACTGGGCCCAATGTTCTGAAGCTCTGATTTTGAATCCTAGTTCTCCTTTCCCTAGCTATGTGAGCAAAAAGAGATCACAACTCCAAGCTACAGTTTCCCACTTGTAAAATACAGGTGACACAATGTCACCAAGTTGTGAGGATCCAATGAGATAATAGGAAGGAAAATACTTTTTAAACTGTAGAGAATATACATATGTTTCTCTACACCCCAGCTCCTAAGTGAAATGTTCTGCACACAGTCAGCACCCAGGCAATGCTCAGGACAATCCTATCCTATTTTCTAATATACCTGATTTAAGATAATTTCTTGACTATAAAATAATTCAGAATTTTGGAAGAAGAGTGATTTGTTAACTTAAAATTTAAAAAAAAAAATTCTTATGCATATATTTAATATACTCCCACTGAAGGTAAATTGCTGTACTATCTCTTTATATATAATTTGGGGAGAACAAAAAAGATGTCCTTATTTGATAGAGCAGAATTGGTAATAAGAGCAACCAATTAAAAATTTCTTATGATATTATAATTGAGTATACTGCAAAATTAACTTTTTCATAATTAAAGATACTAGATAGATATTATAAACTTGGTATTTATAAGGTGATTAAATTTTGAATATGTCTAGGGGATAGAATATGAGAATCCTTGGCATCACCTAAGTAATCATTTAGAAATCTACACACTTAACATCATTTATGTGACTTAATATAAATGTGGTAATACTTAAAAAGTGCATAACTGATTCTAGACATTATATTATGTCAAGCACTAGTATTATCTTTTGGATCTCCTGCTATAATGAATGTTGAGTTTTAATTCATTCTAATTTCATATTCCAAAGGATTTTCCATTAAGGAACATTGCCAAAATGAATAAAAAAAACTCTGAACATATACGACTCAAAGTAAATTTCTTAGCCATTAGGCCTGCATGAAATTGTGGATGTTTCAAATGGACAACTCTTTACCCTAAGGGAAGAATAAAATCCTGTCTCAATCACCGGTGTTTAGGTGATTGAAAAATTCAAAATTCTTCGGGATGAGATACTGGTCACTGTCTTCTAATGCAGGTAACCTGGATATCTGCTCTGTTCTATCAACACACGTGGGGGCTGTTTAGCCCCCACAGGTCGGAGTCTGTTATTAATGAGACTGAAGTCTGGGGCTGGCCCTGTTGTGAGCATAGATATCCTCTGTGTTTGGGATGATGCTGCCATCCTGCCTAAGGGAGTGGAGCTGAGTAAATCAATGGTCACTGCTAAGGCAAAGAATTCAAATCCACAGGACAGTCTTCATCTTAGGAGGGGGATGTATAATTTCAAACCACAAAACTCATATAAAGAAAAAGGAAGTTCTACAAAACAGTCTGTCAAAGCTAACTCAAGTATTTAAAACTTTCAAAATTGGTGTAGTGCCTAAGGCATTTGACTGCTAACCAGAGGCTAGCAGTTCAAACCTACCAGCCAGGTTGATGGAAGGTAGACTTCCTTCCTTGGAAGGAAGACTAGGCAATCTACTTTCATAGAGATACCACCTCAGAATCCCAAGGAGTTGGATTCGACTCAACAGCAGTGAGTTTTTTTTTTTTTTTTTTTACAAAGTACTTCAACATGGATAATATACTTTGGTCTCACATCAATTCTGAGAAGTAGGCCTGGCCAATATCAGCCCCATTTTATAAACTAGAATAAAAAGCAACAGACAATTCAGACATTAAGTGATGAGCCTCAAGTAGGGGTACATAGTTATGGCACAGCCTTGGGCCCAAGTCTTCACCTATAGGTATTACAACTTAGGGCAACAAATAATAAGGATAATACAACACCTAACCATTCGAGTGTATGGTATTTGACATCTGACAAGAGGTAAAAACAACAACAAAAAGACCTTTTGGGAGGATCTTAAAAACACCAGAAGGCTGCTTGGTCACAGTTAGTGGTGGCTTGTAGGAATAATTTCTGGTCACCAACTCATTGCTTGCTTCATTAAGCTAAGTTACCTTTCCAGTTAATTTTCTTTAATCCTGCTTTATGACACTGTCTGGCATGTAAGAAGAAGCTGAGAGGCTAATATTTGTATACGCTTTTGGTCCCTGGAACCCTTCAGGCTCACCAGCTTCAATTACATGAAACTCTTTAAGACAGTTTTCCAAAATCTTTCTTTCCCATAGAAGCAGACATTAAAAAAAAAACAAAAAACCACTGCTGTTGAGTTGGATCCGACTCATCGCAACCCCTCCTTGGGTTTCCAAGGTGGTATCACTACGGAAGTAGATTGCCCAACCTTCCTTCTGAGCAGTGGCTGGTGGGTTTGAACTACCAACCTTCTGGTTAGCAGTCAAATGCTATGCTATCAGAGCTCCCAGAAGCAGACATAGTAGAACTGAAATTCTTTGTAGTTAGGAAAGTGATTGTGAGACACATTCTAAAGGAGTTATTGATTAGATGTTACCAAACCAAACTGACTGCCACTAAGTTGACTCCAACTCATAGCGACATGATAGGACAAAGTAGAATTGCCCCATAAAGCTTCCAAGGCTGTATATCATTATGGAAGTACACTGCCTCATCTTTCTCCTGCAGAGTGGCTGGTGAGATTGCCAAACGAAACCAAATCAAACCTACTGCCATTGAGTTGACTCCAACCATAGTGACCTGACAGGTCAGAGTAGAATTGCCCCATAAAGCTTCCAAGGCTGTATATCATTATGGAAATACATTGCCTCATCTTTCTCCTGCAGAGTGGCTGGTGAGATAGAACAAGCAACCTTATGGTTAACAGCTGAACGCTTTAACCACTGCACTACCAAAGCTCCTTGATTAAATGCTAAGAATCTCATTAGTTATGGGCTTTAAGTCTATTCCATAGACAGATAAATATATATGTATAGACAAATTTCCCAGTGGCCAGAATGCCATTTGAGAGGTGAGAAGAAAATGAATTAAGGACATTAAAACAATGCACACTGCCCATATAGGTCCAATCTGTTCTCCCACTTTGAGATCTGAGTCAGCATAAGATGATGAGCAAATATGGGCAAGTAATATTGACAAGTAATATTGACAAGTAATATGGCACAGGCAGATCACCTCCTCAACATCCAGCACTTTGGCTCTGCAAACCTTGTGCAAATGACATGAAATAATACTACTTGGTGATCATTGTGGAGCTCTGGTGGCATAGTACCCAAGGCATTACACTGCTAACCAAACGGATGGCGATTCAAACCCCCCAGCCACTCCTCAGAAGGAAGACTGGGCAATCTACTTCTGTAGAGATACCGCCTCAGAAACCCAAGAAGGGTTCGCCATGAGTCGGAACCAACTTGTTTGGTTTTTGTTTTGGTGATCATTCTTGTTAGCAAAGCTTCCCCTGCTGGTAAGGCCCTGAAGATGACAATGATAAAGGGTGTTGGTCCACATTTAGGATGGGAAAGTTGGTGAGGGTGTGTGTGTGTGTTTCTATATGTGTCTGTGTTTCTGAGGGATTGTGACAGAGGGTGAGTAGAAGAACAGGGTCTAAAATTTGAAGTAGAGCCAATGAGATGGATTTATTATTAATAGAAGTGTATAGAAGAGATAACTGTATGGAAGACAGTTCTGGGGATAGTGGAGCAATATGGTAGGGAAATCAGTAAAAATATGCTCTTGTATTTGTAATGCATAGATTTTAAAATCATGCAGATAGATTAGAGGTTTTGTAGCTTTTCAAAAATGCTGAATAATACTATTGAGCAGGTAAACTGCTGAACAGATGTTAAATAGCTGTTTGTGATGACCCCCTCGGTTGCCCTTGTAAGGTAAGAACACCAAATCAATGACATAATGCAAAAGACACAAAAAGGAAATACTTGAAATTTCCAATTTAAAGCCCTTTTGAAAAATATTAAAAGAGGAGAAATCTGCAGCCTTTATAGCTCGCTAATGAGAAGTTCTCTTTATGTACTTTCAGTACAAAGGCTTAAATTTTGTAAAATAGCATAGCATAATTCAGATTTTATTTTGGGCTTTTTAAGACTGAAAAGTAGACAAGGGACATCTCTGAATCGTAGAAAGATTAGATAATTTGCCTTCAGGGTATGTAGAGATCAATTGCGAATGTTTAGAGTAGCAGGCAATTTATCAGTGTGGTATGGAAGCATTCTTTTGAAAGTTCTAAATCCTTGTGTAGGTAATGACCTGGTTATATGCAATACTTCAATAAATGAAATAGAGAAAATATTATCTAGCTAAAATTTTGTTATTGATTTGAAACGTGAAATTCACTACAACCTGGCATTTGGTATTAGGAAGGTACAAAGTAAAGGCTCTTTATAAGTAGACACCAGTCTATTAAATGCTGGAAATTGCAAAGCATAACATTGTAATGTTTTAAAATATAAAAGGAATAAAATCATTAGCTAAAATCTGCTTGGAGATTTACTGTGAATGTTTCTAAAATCCTCCAATACTTGCAATATTTGTACCATAAACTTTTCATATTTCTAGAACTCTCAGATATTGGTACATTGGACAAATTTAAAAGTCTCATATACCTACATCCAATTGGGTGCTTCTAATAAAATCCAGTATTGGCAAGATGCACTTCCCCATTGTCTCCATGTGTCTGAAGGTGTCATCTCTGGTCAGCAGACCGAAGGGCGTTTTATGTTCTAAAAATTGTGACAATAAACTTTTATACTACCTTTTCCAGACTTCCAGTTCAAAATGTTTTCTTTAGCAAGCTATAAACAGACATCTCAATGTTAACAGATATGAAATCTTTAGTATAGAAACTAGTCCCATCCCCAGACCATATGTGTAGCAATGAAAGCTCTGTGAGGAGAGAGGCAGGGGAGACATTGCCCTTTAGAGAACTGTCATTTATTCGTGTTGCTGTGTTTCCTGATTGAGAGATCGAAGAGACAGCCTATAACAATTCACCTATCTCTGCAGAGTACGTTTTTCCTAAGCTGTAAAAAAATGCTGTCATAAATGTGTCTGATTCTTGTCTTGTTCCTCCCAGGTATTATTCAAGTGTGCAGATCCCATTGACTTTGAATGTAGCTTGAAGTTGAGATAAGCCCCAGAGGATACATCATCAGACAAAACACAAATCCTTAATTATGTGGGTAGAGCTGAAGGAATAACTTTAACCTGGTTGTGAATTTAGCCTACAAGTTTGAGACCTCAATGTTATAGTTTCTTGAATTTTTGTAAGTTTCAACTGGAATTACGGGTCACCATTTAATTGTAATATAGTTCAGGAGATCTAAGCTCTTGGCTAATTGCATGAGAAGAATGGAACTGATATTTCTAATATAATAGCAAATAATCCAGGTGATTCAAGTTTTTTTGTTTATAATAATTTTGTTATAATTTTCTTCTGCATTTGCTTAAAGATGATAAAAGCTTGTACTCTTCAAATGTCCTGTGATTAGACACTGGTGGAGTAGTGGTTGAGGAAGATGATGGGAGTGAGAGGGGTAGGCAAAGCTTGCCTGGGATTAGCATTCCAGGTATTGTTAACTAACTCAAAAGAATATTGTTGTTGTTATGTGCCGTCGAGTCGGCCCCTCCTTGGGTTTCCGAGGCAGTATCACTACGGAAGTAGGATTGCCCAACCTTCCTTCCGAGGAGTGGCTGCTGGGTTTGAACCGCCAGCCGTCTGGTTAGCAGGCAAATGACTTAGCCACTATGCTACCAGAAGATTAGAATGAGTTTATTATATACCCACAAATAATTTTTGAGGTCCAAGCCCTACTGTATACTAGATTTTGTGATGAATAAGGCACACTTCCTGCCTTATAACAGTATTGAAAAATAATAATAAGTCCAAATGTTTCACCTGGAAATGTTGGCAGCTTCCGGCTTGATATTTTTTCCAAAAATTTCCCATCTTCTTTGTTTTTGAATCCAAGAGTCAAGAGATATTGTTGGGGAGGAAACACTGACCAGTTAGTTGTCTGAGGCAACATGTGAAGTCCTTGAAGATCTGAAATATGACAGAATAAGAACTATGAAGTTTTGTTATTGTTTTAAAGGTATTTTTTCATCCAGAATTTGTGAGTGGGACTTGGAAAAAAAATGATCAATATGTACATTAAAATGACAAAGTAAAATTATGTATATTAAAAGGTTAAACTGATGATTATCAAAATAATATTTCATTTTTTAAATATTTTTCTTAGAAATTTAAACTTACATAAACCTAGTAGTAAAATACAGCCATATTATGTGGTTACTTTTCCCCATAATCAAAATAGTAGACAGTTCAAGACCAGAGTGCAGGATTAATGTTTTTCTGTGAGATTCTTTCCAAGAAAATTTGAGCTTTCTGTTCATAGTTTAAGATTTAAGAAAATAACATTGTATCTAAGAAAAGAGAAAGATTACCAAGTGAGAATTAAAATACAAGGCTAAATAATTTAGTAAACATCCTTCCTGTAGTTACAAAAGGAAATTTAATATAATAAATGCACTGACTTTTATAATTAGAGATGAAAATAATTCAACATAAAAATGATTCTGAAACAAATTTATCTCTTAATGACCTTAAGAGCTAATGTTTAATGACCACTTATTTTCTTTTTGCTTCTGTTGGAAGAGTTTTGTGTCTACTGTGTTTCTAAATTCTCATAGTAATTTTATAAGGTTGGTGTTGTTATTCCCATTTTACAGTTAGGAAATTGAGGCACACATATGGGAAATAATTTGCCCAAGCACAAACGTACGTCCAAGCAGGAGTACCACCCAAGCAGTCTACCTCCAGAGACCACAGACCTAAACACTGCACTCTGCTTCAGGCTGGCTTGGCTCTGGATTGCCTTTGGGATAGGAACAAATGTCAGCCATGGGGTCTTGGAGGCTCGATTCATTTAATTCATTTCCATTTTGAGTAACAAAAGTTTGGTGTAGTGTAATACACTTCTCAAATTAAGGATGATGAACAGAGTGGTTTAAAGGAGCCCTACCTGCTTAAATCTCAGATAATTTTGGATTTTGACTTAGATAAAGGTCAATTTTTAACATTGTATCAGAACTTAAATGGTATGGTTCAAATACAGCTTTGACTATTTATGTTTAATATTCCTTTTAAAAATAATGTTGTTGTTGTTGTTGTTATGTGCCCTCGAGTCGGCCCTGACTCATAGCGACCCCTCTTTGGGTTGCCGAGGCAGTATCCCTACAGAAGTAGATTGCCCAACCTTCCTTCCCAGGAGTGGCTGGTGGGTTTGAACCGCCAGCCTTCTGGTTAGCAGTCAAGTGCCTTAGGCACTGTGTTACCAGAGCTCCCTTTAAAAATAATAGGCACATTAAATCATGAGTATTCCCCTCCCCACTTTTTTAGCTGCACAACACTTTGTTCAAACCAAAATTTGCCCAGAAACCCAATATTTAAAGCTGATAAGTAGAAGTGCTCTACTTGCAGTCTGGAACACTGACCCCAAGTCTCCCTATTGTGCTCCATACACCCTACATGGAATAAAAGCTGCCCTAAGCCCCTCCACAGAAGCCAGATTTTTTCAAAGCAGAGTTTGAAGAGCACTGCAATTAATTATTGGACACATTTTGGTCAAGTCAAACAGCATATTTCCGTCAAATAAAGAGCGAAAATATACGCTGAATATTTAAACAATTAAAATATCATTTAAACATTTAAACACAGACCAGACACTATATTAATACTTTGGTAATTAGTTATTTAGGTAATCCCTTACTCTACCACCTGACTGTCAATGTGTCCTACTGTGGTGGTTTGCATGTTGGTATGATGCCTTTGAATTGCCATGTTGGTGAAGAATATTGCAGATACCATGGACTGCCAGAAGAACAAACAAATCTGTCCTGAAAGAAGTGCAGCCGGAAAGCTCTTTGGAAGCAAGGATGGCGAGACTTCATTTCATGTATTTTGGTCATGTTGTCAGAAGGGTCTAGTGCCTGGAGAAGAATATCAAGCTTGGTAAAGTGGAGGGTTGATGAAAAAGGGGAAAACCCTCAACAAGATGGATGGACACAATGACTGAAACAATGGGCTCAAACACAGCAAGGATTGTGAGGATGGTGCACGACCTGGCAGTGTTTGCTTCTGTTTTACATAGGGTCACTATGAGTTGGAACTGACTCGATGGCACCTAACAACACAACTATATGATGCTGTAAGGTTTGCCACTGCTATTTCAAATACCAGCACGATCACTCATGTTGGACAGGATTCAGTGGAGCTTTCAGACTCAGAGTGACTAGGAAGAAAGGCCTGGCAATCTACTTCCAAAAATTAGCCAATGGAAACCCTATGGATTGCAACCAAAAATTGTCCAGTCAAGCGTTAGACAATGAGCCCCCAAGTTTGAAAGGCACTTAAAATAAATAGTGGTTGCAAAAATGTCCTTCATGGTACCAACAGCTGACTGCGATGATGGTGCAGGCCTGGGCCGTGGCTTGTTCTGTTGTGCATTAGGTGGATGTGAGTCAGTGCTGCTTCGACAGCAGCTCATCGCAAAAGTAATCTCCTATTATCAATAAAGGCTTAAATTTATCTGGCATTACTTCTGTGCCATGAACATTATCAACATTATCTTTTTCATTCAATAACCTTCTGGGAGCTCTGGTAGCATAGTGGCAAAGACACTTGCCTGCTAACCAGACGGCTGACGGTTCAAACCCACCAGCCACTCCTCGGAAGGAAGGTTGGGCAATCCTACTTTCGTAGTGATACTGCCTCGGAAACCCAAGGAGGGGTCGCTATGAGTCGGGTTTGACTCGATGGCACATAATAACAACAACAACAACCTTCTGGTGCAGGGCACATGCTTACGCTCACCTTCCAGATCATAAAATTGGAGCTTTAAATAGTTATAAACTTGCCTAGATGACACAGTGAATAAATGGGGCAGTGAGAATTTCAAGTGAGACAGCTGGACTACAAGGTGTTGTTGTTGTTATGTGCCATTGAGTCGGACCCAACTCATAGCGACCCCTCCTTGGGTTTCCGAGGCAGTATCACTACGGAAATAGATTGCCCCATCTTCCTTCCAAGGAATGGCTGGTGGGTTTGAACCGCCAGCCTTCTGGTTCGCACCTACAAGGTACAAAGTACAAAGTTTTACCTCTCACAGCTGCCTCCATAACAATGTAGGATGGCCATGAAAATCAATGGAAAATGTGTTACAGAAGCATGGAAATGTCAGTAAACATATTGCTTTAACAGACAGAATTCCCGATAAAACACCTATTATTCTCTCTCTAGAAAAATACAGCAAAGACCTGGAGTTCTCAGAACTAGCAGAGTGATTTGGAGCACTTTAGCATGCAAATTACAGCATAGGTACTTTTAGTTGGTGTTTGCATTTCAAAATGGCTTTTATAAAAAAGGATGGCTCATTTCTGTGTTGTTGTTGTTAGTTGCCAATGAGTAGACTTTGTGTCATGGTGACATTGATTGTAACAGAATGAAAACCGCAGCCAGATACTGCAGCATCTTCGTGATCCTTGGTGTGTGTGAGTCCATTGTTGTGGCCATTATGTCAATCCATCCCACAGAGGGTTTTCCTCATCTGTCCTCTCTATAAACAACATAAAAGTGTGATTTCTGTATTTCAACTTCAAAAGTGCTAGAAGTTTCTTTGCTTTTGCAATTTGTAGCAGATAATCACAGACACATCCTGTGCTTTCAATCTCATACTTTCTTAGTCCCTAAAATAAAGGAAAGGGTTTATCAGGCTTCTTGAAGTTCCCCAAAATTGGATTCTGTGAAAAAGAAACTGAGCAAAAATTGTAAAGGACCCTAGGTAACTCCTCTGATGTATGGTTATCAGATTTTTCTGGATTATGCTTATCCTTCAGCATGACATAAGATTCTGGCATTCCTAAATTGTGGTATTTGCAGGAATTGCTGTGCTCTGGAAATAGAGGGCAGGACAAGGTGTGTGTGTGTGTGTGTGTGTGTGTGTGTGTGTGTGAGGTTTGCCCTTTCATTGGATTTTGCTCTCTAACCTTAATTGTGGTCATGAAGAACCTACATATAGACCAAGAGATAGTTGTTTGAATAGAACAAGGGGATACTGCATTGTTTAAAATCAGGAAAGGTGTGCATCAGGGTCTTATCCTTTTACTGTACTTATTCAATCTGTATGCTGAACAAATCATCTGAGAAACTGGACTATATGAAGAAGAACATGGCATCAGATTTGGAGGAAGACACTAACAACCTCCAATATGCACATGACACAACCTTGGTTGCTGAAAGTGAAGAAGACATGAAGCACTTACTAAGGAAGATTAAATACTACAGCATTCAGCATGGAATATACCTCAACATAAAAAAGACAAAAATTTTCACAACTGGATCAAAAAGCAACATTATGAAAAATGGGGAAAAGATTAGAATTGTCAGGGATTACATTTTACTTGGATCCACAGTCAATGCCCATGGAGGCAGCAATTAAGAAATCAAATGACATATTGAAGTGGGCAAATATGTTGCAAAAGACCTCTTTAAAGGGTTTAAGAGCAAAGATGGCACTTTGAACACTAATGTGCTCCTGATCCAAGCCATGGTATTTTTAATAGCCTCATATACATGTGAGATCTGAACAATGAATAAGGAAGACTGCAGAGGAATTGATGTATTTGAATTGTGGTGTTGGTGAAGAATAGTGAATGTATCATGGACTGCTAGAAGAACTAACAGATATGTCTTGAAGATATGCCTTCTAAGGAATGATCCTTAGAAATGAGAATGGCCAGACTTTGCCTCTCATAATTTGGTCATGTTGTAAGAAGGGACCAATCTCTAGAGAAGGGTATCATGCTTGGTAAAGTGGAGAGTCAGAGATTAAGGGGAAGTCCCCCAAGGAGATGGATTGGCACAGTGGCTGCAATGATGGGCTAAGGGAAAGCAAGGATTGTGAGGATGGTGCACAACTGGGCAGTGTTTCATTCTATTGTACATAGGGTTGCTATGAGTCAGAGCCAACTTGATGGCACCTAACA